TATATATATATATATATATAAGATTTATAATCAGAATTAAGATGAGAAAAGTTGTACATATACACATAACTAAAATCATAATAAACAAATAGTCATAAAGGAGGGATACTATTTAAAAGAAATTCAAGGAATAGCATAAAAATTATATATACTATTAAATTTTTCATGTAGGAAATTTTAGTTAATAAATAGAACTCATAATTTCATAATGATAAAAACAAAAATATAAAGATACTATTACGATATAATACATAAGATAAGTATATTATATATAAAACAAAAATTAATAATTATTAAAAATATTGTAGATTTTTTAAATAAATAATAAGAGGCTTATCTTTTTATATTTTTGATGAATTCAAAATTATAATTTAATAAAATAATATTAAATTATTTAAATTCATTAAAATACAAAATGAGAAAACTAATCAAATATTACAATAGAAAAAAATCTACGAAAAGAGGGGGATAAAGATAATTTTATGATATTTCTATTTTGAATAATTAATAAATAATCAATCAATAAATTACACTCAAGAATTATTGATAAATTTAGATAATTGAATAATTTATAACAATATAACATGAATTTGAAAAAAAATAAAAATATTACCAGAGTAAGAAAATATATATCTATATTATATTAAAAGAGAAATAGTATCAAAATATTAAGCTAATTGACAAGTTAATATAAAGTCATAGTAAATGTATATTACTAAGTTCTTGCTAATTCAATAATAATAAAGAACAAATAAGGAACAAACAATTTATTTGATTACTATATAATGTCTATCCTTTGATTTTGTATATATTTTATTATATTTCTGTACACTATATTAAATAATAAAATAATAACTAATATTTATTAAAATACTATAATATATTAGTTCATAATTTTGTAAGATTATTATTCTATCAAATTATCTGCGCTCTACCACTAGTTGGTTATAAAAGAAGGATTTAAGTGATGTACATACACTAATGATATAAAAAATATTTTATACTATCAATATATTTTAACCTATTATAACATATTAATTACTTTATTTTCCAAGTTGCTAATTCTATGTATTTTGAGCACTGAGTAGTTACCTGTTGTTAAAATTCCTTAGGTAGAAAAACGACATTACTACTGTTTTTCAAACTAAGAGTCGAGATAGAGAGATGTATATATACATAGGATGACTTGTCAACCAGTCTTCCCGGTCCCCAGAGGGGATTTCTATCACGTGTATGGGTGGGTTCTTCGAAACTTGAAACAACTAAGCACGCGTTTTGGACATAAGAATTGTAAAATTCTGGATAAATTGGAGTTTTTTTGGTCTAAAATATTATTTGAAAATTCGAGTTTTGTTTGAATATGAATATAATTTGAAGCTTTTTTAAAAAAAATTGTGAATGATTTGAAGTAAAAAATTTAAAAAACAGTTTTTTAGTGTTTTTTAAATTTCGAAATTTAATTTCAAATGAAATTTGAAATTTTCATGGTCAAAAGCGGATTTCGAAAAAAAATGAAAAAAGAACTGGGAAAAACTTATGGCTACGATAATTCTCAACTATTTGATCTAAGTTTAACGAGTAAAGAGGGAAGCTTATGAAGAGTAAATCTGTGTCACGATTTCAAAAGAATAATTTGTTTACATTTCTTATAGACTTGGAAAGCACGTACAAGATTTCAAGACAATAATCAGTATGCGGAAGTTGACTAATGAATAAACCTTGCCTTGCTTCCCAAGTATATGTCATCCTCCAAATCCAAATGCACCCAATTCTATTCCTCTATATAACTACGTTCAATCTTTTCTTAATCCAATCAACTATCTGAGCTCACACAAACATAGCCAAGATGAAGAGAGAGGGTCGCCAACACGGTCTGGTTCGGACCTACCGTAAAAGAGAGGGCTCACACAAAAATTTGGGCTTCAGTTGGAACCCCAAGCCCAACTCCAACTCCAGGTATTTAGAGTCGGATCTATCTAGGCATTTTTATGGTTTCAAATTGAACTCATTGCTTTCAGCTTGAATATGATATTTACAATTATTAAAACACCTTGAATTTAGATATATAGCGAGATCATCTGAATCGACTGACTCTATATTCTGGATTCGCCTTTGTAGGGATGTTAACAAGTTGAATTCCCCTCCCACGGCTGGGTTTTTCACAAAGGTATCAACAAAGCCCTCCAACCATTCCAAGTTCACAGGCAAGTGTGGTAGGTCTAAGTGCACATGTTGTCATATGCACCCTGCTGGAAAGGCCAAGGGGATACAAAAACTGAGGGATTGTGACATCGTTTCTAGGCGCGGCTTGACCTTTTTCGGGTTCTCAGCTACTAGCATATTGGACCATTTGGCTAGTGAGTACATGGATTTTGATGATGATGAAATTTAAAATGGTGATGATAATGTTGCTTAAAGGCAACCACAACTGGTTGTTGATTCTGATTGCTCGCCACTTACAGTAGAAATTGAGGAGCTAGATAACTGTGATGACGAAAGAATGAGTTTTTGTAACGTGGGAGTTGTGTGGGAAAGGGTCGAAGAAGATGGCGATTTGTGTTTGGTGGAAGAAATGTGATTTAGTCCATTGACTTAGATTAATGTATTTACTGTCAAATAAATTGTTGTACTTTGATTCTTTTATGTTGAAATTGATTTTGCTGTGTTATTAGTAAAACAGTTCTTCGTATCAGATATCATGTATAGCTTGAGAAATAATAAAGCAGAACTACGTTGTAGTTATATATAAACGTCTTTGTGTTATGTAGCATAAGATGAAGCAGTTCGGTTGAGAAACACACTGCAGCCTTTTCATTTCAAATTGCAAAGGCCTTTGCCTGTATTCTTTCTTGTCATGTGCTGCACTGCACCTTCAGAGAGTTGCTATCAGACAATCGACTATACTCATCATCTGATTTGATTCCCAGGGTGGTACATGGATTAGGCACTAGATTGGAAAAATATGAGCTCGTTGCATCAGTTCATGCTTAAAGAAATAATTCAAAATTGTGTAAGAAAAAAAATAAAATTTGAAAGACCAGTTACTGCAGCATAAGTTTGATATTTTAGGCATGCATTTCTCTCTGATACTTAAATTGATCTGGTTTGAACTTCACCCTGCAACTTTGTAGAATTTTACTTTATGTTGTGAAAAGGCAGATACTATATGGAACAATGGTCACACCGGAAAACTTAGCCTAAACACCAGGATTCAACTCTTCATAAAACAAATAACGGGGATCCCTTGCATATAGATAGCTTTAACACAAGATACACGATTTTCTTCTATATGATTATGTGATGATATACATCATACATCTCTGAACATTCAATTGGGGGAGACTCCAAATTGATGTTGAATATTTGGGGATGCATTCTGATCATGAGACACTACCGTTGGCAAGGTTTGAGAATTTATAGGTTTTGAGCTATTCTTCTTTCCTGATTTCTTGTAAGATCGCTTCTTGGTCGAATATGTAGAAGGTGGCTGCGATACCATTGTGCTGTTACTGGGCTTTGTTCCAGGTTTCGGTGACTGAGAACATTTTACTGGAGTCTGCACCAAATAAACCATATGAACCACTGTCCCAGAGGGAAGAGCATGGATAAAACCAGAACTATACAAAATATGAATTCAGAAGGTACTTGTGGAGAAAAATGTTGATTATGATGATCAGTTCATTGTTAGAGTACTTTAGACTATTAGAAATAAAAAGAAAACAATTGGTTGATCTAGTTAAATTCATCATGACCATGTATCATGACATGTTTTGACAATGGGGGGAAATTGGTTTTTTAGGAATATCTGAATTGGAAATACAAACGATTATGGTATTACCTTTTTTGTGTAATTTTTTGCTGTTTCTCTTTCCTTGTAAAACTTGGGCAGGGGACGAGCTCTGAAACAAAAGCTTTGTCGAAGTTTCCTAATCTCCATTTCAGCTTTCTCCTGCAAGCAAAAGGGCATTCATTCATGCCAAGTTAATTTGCTTTGCAACTGAAGAAGTCATGCCAAGGCACATTAAAGAGTTAAGTGGTTGGGAAGCCAATAAAGAAAGAAAAATTGCACAAGCCAATAAGGAAGCTCAGGAAGAACCTTGATTGTTGTTTGTAGCTGAACTTTCTGTACCTCCTTTGCATTGAATTTCTCCTCAAGCTTCTGAAGTAAAATTACAGGCGTAAGATGGGATTGGACTTAGAAAGGCAAGGAGATAGTCCTGATCTGAAGATGCCAAAACATGTAAAAAAAAAAAAAAAAAAAGGCCTTACCTGTTTCCTTCTTGCAGCTCTTTCTTCTGTCCTCAGGAGAAAAGGAGTGGATAAACTAGGTGATTGTAATTTGTTACGGCAAGCTGTGAAAGACTTGGGACAACTGAATAAAAATACTAAGGTGAGAGAGATTCAGTGGCACAACAAACTGACAAAATCATATAATCTCCATAATTCAACTTGGATTCATGCGCAGCTTTTTCCACACACCTGGTATATGATGGATTTATGCACCATTTCTTATTTGGCATATAGATTTTGTGCGCCATAAAGAATCACTTTACTATGTAGTTTCAATCTCCACTCACTTATTAACAAGACTATGGCTGTCGGCTGTCTGAATATAGAACTATGTTTTAGTAGAATCAACTGCTCTTCAACCTAAAATTCTAAAAGGAAAGCACGGTGTACAAGGCATCCCGCGTTCACTTAGGTCCGGGGAAGGCCGCACCCCAAGGGTTATGATATAGACAGCCTACCTTAATGCAAGCATTAGTGACTGCTTCCACGGCTCGAACCTAAAGGTCATTGGGAGACAACTTTTTCGTTGCTCCAAGACTCCCCTCAACCTAAAAATCTAGTAGAAAGAATATCAAATTATTTATCTTTCTTTATGAATTACAACTTTTTCGATAGAATAATTCTAATGCCAACCTATATTAGCTTTCATCCACTTGAATTTATAAATGAAAGGAATCGTATAATGGTAAAGTGCATTGACGATTACTGGAATGTCGTATTGGCAGTTTTACATGTTAACTCAACGCCCTTCTACCAATATTTTGCTGTCATAATATACATGTAGTCATCTACTGCCCGTAAAAAGTTAAATCTAAGGCCATTATTTCAAAGATATACTTACACAGCTGACAAAATATTCCATTTAGGACTGGCTGTTTGACTTCCTGAAACTGTCGGATGAATTGGTGTTGTCATGCTGTAAGGCAGTGGGAAGACAAAAGAACCAAGTTAGTGGTTGTTGCTGAAGTGAAATTCATGCAGTAATTTCGCAGTCAGAAAGCTCATACTGTCTTAATATGATAATTATATACCTTCTATTTTCAGAAGACGGGGTTGTCATGGGACGTTTGGTTGCACCATCTGAAGTTGCCTGCAGGTTTTAAACGAACAAAAGTCCAACAAAATTATTACGAGTTTAAGTTCTATCCATCGATGGTGTAGATCATTTATAATAATTACAGGGTAAATCTCTTTAACAAGCATTAATTATTAACCAGAAAAATATAGTAAGTTACTTGCTATCAGAGGTTAAACTATAGTGTTAGACTAAATAAGCAGACAACTGTTAGTGTAAAAAATTCAGGATTAGCTTTTAGTAAATGAGTGATAAATAAGCAGAGAAAAGTGAGTACCACAGTAGTCTTGAGAGGAGTTGCACACTTCTTAACGGCATTGGGAGCGACCTTTGAAATTTCCTTCTTGAGGGTGGTAGGAGGGGGAGGAGGCACCTTATCTGGCTCTTTGGCAGGGGTGTAATTCATCAATTTGCTTAAGGAATTTGAGCTTGATCTCTTTTCATTCGCCAAGACTGATGTTTGATTCTTGGTGATTGGAGTGAAATTGTTTTCTTTATTGACATGACATGTAATGTTATGCCTAGCTGGTGAAGATGGGAATTTCGTTTTTATTGAGTGAACGGATGATTTGAATGAAGAAAAAGCTGATCTTTTCTTGCTCGTAACACATGTAACATCATCATCGTCTTGCTTAGAGCTGGAACTCTGCTGAATCATTGATGAAAATCAGTTTCCATATACTTCTAGTAGGAGTATATTTTAGATCAATCAATGACTTAACCAATCCATCAATTAATCAACTAAGTCTCAGAATCTCAACTTAGTTGGAGTCGGCTAGATGAATACTCTATATCCTTTCCTCCCTATTAGAAGCCATTTCATGCAAGTAAGTTCTAAGTAGTAATTAATTTCTCTAAAACTAGAGGCTCTCGACATCTCACACGGACAAGTTATAACCAAACTACAAAAGCGTTGAGTGTTGACACATAGTATAAATTTAGTATAAGTAATAACAATAATACCACTAAGGGGTGTGGTGGGACGAGTAGGATCCTCCACCCTTAATCGAACGGGTGTGATTGGAATAACCCACCCTTTAATGGGAGCTACACAGTGCAAATTTGGACTAGTTGGGCCAGTAGGCACCGGATACCACATGGTTATAACAATTCAACAACTTACTACCAAGAATAGAAAACCCATACATAGAGCTGTGTAGTTCATATTTACCTTCACCTTGAGCAAAGGTTTGTCCGTATGAGACATTTGACTAAGCTCTGATCCTGAAATTGTTTCTTTATTCTCACGCACAATACCATTCGTTAGTTCTTTCTCTGGAGCAACAGTAGTTAAAGGACCCTTCACTGGGGCAGCATTTGCTGCTGTTAGAGTATTTTGTGTGATTTCTACATCGGGGTCTTTTTTGGTACTGTTAGAGGAGGGAGTAATATTGGATTGTTCAAGCAAAGCAGCAGCAGCCTTTTGGGCAGCAATTCTCTTGTAATGAGCTTCAAAGAAAGCTTTCTTTTGGGCAACAGAACCTGGTTGTGCATACCTCTCTGCTTCCTCCACGTAGCGTTTGTGAGAGAACGTCGACCATTTTTCCCATGCCAATGATTCATTCGTAAATCTCCCGAAAGAAATGGACTCCCCTGGAGCATGCATGCGGTTCCCCTGTATTTACAAGAAGAGGAAAAAAACAATAACCTTTCAAAGGAAAGCTATGAACAACAACAACAACAACAACAACAACAACCTAGCGGTGTCCCGCAAGTGATGATATTTTGGGAGGGTGAGGATAATTGTGTACGCAGACCTTACTCCTATCTAGGAAGGGTAGAGAGTCTGTATTCGATAGACCTAGCTCAAGAGCAAGGAAGGAAGGAAAGAAAAAGGAAAGCTATGAAGAAAGCAAGAAAATATGGTATATGTAGAAGCACTTGCGCAGAGAGTGTGTGTGTGTATGTGTGTTTTAAGTATTGAAAGAGAGTAAAGTACCTGTTTAGCTTCATTGGGTATGGCAGAAGCGTAAGAGAAGGCATGCATAAGACAAGCTGAATCTCCCATTACAGGACAAAGCAAGAAAACAAACTGAGGAACCTGGAACAGTACTATAATGTTACCAGAAAAATTTACTAGGATTATTGTACTGCATAAAAAAATTTATTGGCATGTAATTTCTCTCTCACTTTACTCTCTGTATGGATCTGAGCATTTAAATTTGAAATTCAAATGGAAAAAAGTGTAAAAGAGAAACGTTGTTTAAAGGTAGGGACCCCTGCTAGCTGGTAGGGTAGGGAAAGAAAAAGTCGATGAAAATAGAAAAAGTTCTTGTTCTGCTTGCTTGACCAAGTCAGAAAGCTTGATTTCAGCTGAAGAGGTAGGGCCCAACTTTTGAACTTGATCATACTTCAAAGTTTCGACTGTTTTGAGAAATTGCAAGTGGCAGATGATTTTCCGATTAATGTTGTCCCACAATTTGCTTCTCTGAATGTTAACGAATATATATTTTGGATCATTTGCAAATAATCCAAATATAGTACTAAGCGAAGGAGTAACAAAACTTCATGTGACGTCTGGGCAAGAAAATAGTTTTGATTTGCATGTTTTTACGGTTTAGGTAGATTTTTTGGTGTTTGTGTTTCACAAACACCAATTTTGTGTTTCTCATTAGTGTTTATTTTTTGTTTCCCAAAACATGCTTCTTTACATAACAATATTATTTGAGAAATTAGGCAAGAGAATTTTCATGTCACTTGCAACAGGGCTGAACCACCAGCTGTTACAATGTCATCCTTTCAAGTGAAAAACTGGAGTTAGCAGCTTAGCTTTGGCCTTAGGATACCATTTGAATTTTACCAAGAGTGAAAGAGCCATATCAATGAGCTGGACCCAAGCAAAGGCCATAATTATCAATTGCTACAGTTCAAATGCTATTCTATCACATGCTAACAACATTATAGTTTTGGGATAGAAGGTTAATACTTAATAGGTTATCGAACGTTTCCCTTTGTCTTCCTTAACTCGATAGCATTAGTGTTAGTATGATATCGTTTTATCCTTAGATTGCTATTACTATCTACCGCTCTATTGCTATCTTGGCTTCGATTTTCTTAATATCGTGTATTGTTACTACTTGCTGTCAATGCTTCTTTCATATTTTCTTTAGCTGAGGGTATATCAGAAACAACATCTCTGTCCTCCTAGGGTAAGGGTAAGGCTACGTACATCTTACCCTCCCGTAACCCCACCTGTGGGAATCTACTTGGTGGTGGTTGTTGTTGCTAACAACATTCTAATTTTGTGCTTTCATAAATCGAGACGGTGCAGTGACTGATCAGCCATTTGTTGGTCAATATTCGGCATCATTCATTACAAATAGTATCAATCATATGTTGTGTTCACGAAAAGGAAAAAGAAAACAAAAAGCAAGAAACCATATGTCAAGCTCCTGCTGTATTACTTCGCTTTGAATTAAGAAAATATTGGTTGTTAAAATTGCTGAGGCTTCTCAGAGCATTTGTGAACAAGAAGTAAAACAGAGGTAACAAATGAGAGTACCAATAACCAAATTCGTTCTCAAATTTGACATCTTACAGAGATCTAAGATTTCCGTGTTGTGTCAGCAGTTCAGAGTTGCCTCATCTGCCCATTGAGATCTCATTAATCATACTGTGAAATAGTTCTCTACTTCTCTTTCCCTTGTAACCCCGCTTCTTTTTCAGTCCTTTATTGCCTAATTGCAACAGTTACAGTAATAGTAAACAAACCAAAGATCAAAAAGTTGCACAACCTCATGCAATGGAATGAACATTTTGGCGGTTCTACAGGGAAAGATTAAGAAACCATGAATGTCATTAATTTTTTCAAGTCCATTGATCCTTTTTTCAAACTGCAATGCAATTCAGCTTTTTGTAATGTAGTTTCTTTTGAAATACCAGAATTTCATTGCTTAAAATATGCCACAAACTTGACTGCACAAATGACAGATATGAAGAACTAGTCATTGCCATGCCTTACCACAGCCTACTTAAAGAGGGTGGTCATTGTCCTACCACTTTGAGTGCGTGAGAAGATTGTCCTCTAACCATAAGTAGTGCAATTCTATTGTCTTCTAACCATCATCGATGTATAATATTAGTATATTCATGGGTTGATTCAAAAATCACTTTCTTCTGGGAGGATCCCGGCTCAGTCCATGTTTCTTTAGAGTTTTGATGTAATTTCTCATGAGCGTGAACTTGTCGCTCCCAAGATGGTAGAGGTAGTCCCACGTGAAGATGCCAGTCTTATGCAAGTCATCAAACAATAACCTATATTGAACCACATGGAAGATATGACAAAAAATAGCAAATGAGACTCCATACTGAAGACAGTTATGTGCTATTATTACCTCATCCCATAATTTCCAATAGGTTCAGCAGACATGATTCCCACATGTCGCCTCCCAGATATGACCTGATCCACAAGCACATAAAAGAGGAGAAATTTGAGTATAATAAGACTTCTTAAATACTAAATAAAGCTACATCAAAGAAATTTATGCTTGGTAACTGAATAGTAGCTCGCATAGCTTCATTGAGCACTGTTGTAACTTATAAGAATGGTCCAGTAAAAAAAACCAGGATGATGAACTCTCTAATGTGGAACAGCAGAAGTACTTATAAATCATCTAGGCATGGTAAAAACTAAATGTTCATCTCGTTTAACTAACAAAAAAGAAAGAAATTTACATCTAGTTACCTTCTCACCACCAACTGATCTGATCTTACTATCAACGGCTGGGCTATATATTCTCAAATACTCTGCTGACAAATTGTAATGACTACCATTGTCAAACTCCACCTCTACCTGGAGAATATTCACCAGACAACAAGTCAGCCCAAGTTCTATAATATCAGAAACACACAGTAAACAAGGTTCCAGAAACTTAAAATTTGAAGTGAATATGAATAATTTACCTACCATTAGAGACTAAATATTACTAGTAGATTCACTTATTCTGGAGAACTTCTCAAAAGAGCAGCATACCAGCATTGGAGTGTTAAATAGGTGGAACCATCACTTTTCAAGAGTAATAACATTGTGTATTTTAAACTGACATCTTAGGTCCATGTAATATGGTGAATCGTGAATATCATTTCATCCTTCTTTATTTTTTGATAACGAAAATTGGTGTTCCAAGCTCTTGAATATCATTTTATTCTTTCAATAGCAAAACAGCTACATTGCCTGTGAAATGCTTCATTAAGTTCAGTGAATTGCCATAGGTATCAATTTGAATCCAAAAAACGCACTTGCAACTGATGTATACTTCCAATTCAAGAGTAAAATACACAATGATGGGTTCATATGCCTCACACCTAAGCATATAATGCTAATAAGTGTGCATAGTAAGTGACTTACTAAGTTCAAAAAAATGAAACAGTAATTTTAGCATGGGGTACATTAGTAAACAATACCAAAATTTATCCTAAAGTTTGAATCATAAGGGAGTTAAACAAACTTCCTTTTCAATTCAAAATCCAAAGCCTAACATTATTTTTCCAATGTCCATATTTACTGCTCAAATTACTCTAAACTCCTCCTCATACGAACATAATCACCACGAGGAGTTGGCTAATAATCCAATGGAAAAAAAATAAAGTGAAAGTAACTTTCTCGAGAAGAAGTATCATCAACGTTCTATTTTAATATAATTTCCACGGATACTGCTGCAATTGCACACATCTAATACTTTCCATAATCCTATCCACTCACAGATATACTATATTGACAGAAAGCAGATTTATAGAAATTAATACTGCTATCTTTCGAATAACACAGTAACCATTTTCTTGGGCAAATTCTTTTGCAGTGGAAGTTAAAGCATGTTAATAAGCTTTAATTAACCAAGTAATAAGTTTAACACAAACTTCAAACTAAAAGCATGCCCCAGAATTCTTTGATTAAAAAATATTAAACTTTCATTAAGCACACTTGTATGAGTAATTTCTTCTTAAGGGGTTAAAGATATCTATTTGATTGTTTTGCTAGGAGCTGATAAACGCTGAGATGATGTAGTTCTAGACAGTAAGCCAATTCATTGGTCTTTTAGGATGCAGAATCAGCTCTCAAACTGATACTAAATACATTATCAACCGTATTCACCTTTGAAAGAAAACTACTCTTGTAATTAGACAATTACAACTTAACTCCATCAGAATGAAATTGGGGGAAAGGAAAGGACTTGAAGCCTCCTACACCATACGCAAAGCTTAAAGTTGATGGATTCAAGAAATTCTTTTTCGGGGTACTCAAAAATCCTTTTCAGACAAGAGTGAGTTGCTAAGGTATGCCCTCCCCAGATCACATACTGAGTTGTTGTTGTTGTTGGGGTACTCAAAAATCCAAGAAAGACATCAGTAATCTCAGAAAATCCACAGAAAGAAAAACTTTATTGATCTTATTTGAAAGGAGAAACACACATTATTGACCCAACATTAGAATAAAAGCAAAAAGAGAAAGAGAAAGTCATCAATCAACTGCACCTCAATAACAAATTAATTCGAATCAGTTCTATGTAATTCTTTTCTAAAATCTATTTTTCTATTTGAGTTCATTTCATTTCAATACTAGAAAAAGAAAAGGATGAAAGGAGAAAATCTATAAGAAAGAAACGTACAAACTTAGGAGCGTGAAGAGCAAATTTGGTGAGGCGTGGACAGTTTGCAGCAGTTTGTATGCTTCGAAAAGTCGTTTGTACAACATACATCTTTTTGCTTCTCCTCGTATACAGGGAGTCGGCTCATGGGCGGACTATGTACGTTCGGTATGAATTGGGCCGGGTACCCGATATAGTGGTTTGGTGGGTTAAATTAAAAAATAGCGAGATTTATAAGTGTTAATTGAAAAACAGTCACAGTTCCAAAAGTAGTTGAAATTTAGCTACTTTTTATGTAATCTGAATGAAAACACTGTTCAAAATCCAGAAAATATTTCAGCATAATATACTGGAGTTCGAACTTTTTACATGTGAACTTCCATCATAATATATTGGAGTTCTAGCATAATATACCGGTCCAACATAATATGTTGAAAGTTCATACGCAGGTGCTCCAATCTCCAGTATATTATGCTGGAACTTTCCGTGTTGCAGCAAAATAGTGGTTATTTTTCAATAACTTTGCAAACGCTGGCTATTTTTCAATTATCAGTCCGAAAACTGGCTAGCCCGTGCTATTTTTACTGGTTTATAGCTGAAAAGTAGCTCCGTGAGTGAATATGGGCTGTGTATTGGATCCGGGCCTTCAGATCTAGCACTTGACTGTGCTGCTTGGTTCTAGCAGTGAAAATGGTTGTTTGTGCTGCTTAGGGAAAGTGCACAAACAGCCATTTTTAAGGCTGATATTAGGAATTAGCCGGTCCTTATTTTGTCCTGAAAATTTAAACTAAAAATTTTGATTTCAGGATAATTCAGAACATTTGTGTCTCAAAAAATTGAACTAAAAAACTAAAATTCAGAATATTTTGGCTAATTCCTAAATAGCAACACTTTAGAGTGGCTACCTGGTATCATTTCTACCACCCTTTAAGCTTCTTTACTTTTTAGTACATTTTTTTTTTCTTATTTAACACCTACAACATTTGACCAACATCGTTTATTTTTTCTAAAAACATTTTATGATTTTATGAATTATCAATTTGTATTTTGTATAGTATAATATAAAGAGGTAAAGTACAACTTTATACAGTATTATTTGAAATTTGATATAACTTAAAGGTAAGTAATTCAATAAGTTCAAGCAATAATAAGTGCTTCACATATAAAATCTAATCAGGGAGATGCAAGCATCGGACAACAGGGATTAATCATGGCTTCTTTCGGAATAATTGTCAAGAACTATAAAGCATAGACAGAAAAGAGAAACAGATATGCTGCTTCAAATGCTGTGTTGTTGATGCGAAATGATTAAGTGGCCACAATGACTTTCCAGTAGGGATGATTAACTCAGTGCTTTATGAAATTGTTGGTCTCCGTTTTCAGCCGTGTCTTCTGCAGACACATTTATAGCTTGGACTTGCTCACTCGGAGTTTATCAATAAAAAAACATGCATAAGAATTCAAGCAGGCAAGGAGGTCCAATACTTTGTTTGAACTATCAAGAATACATCATTCTACAAGTTTGGTTAGTTTTCACTATTGCTTTAGTGGCTTCACATTAGGAAATCTAAGTTTATGTTCTTCGGTCTCTAATACGAATGTTGTTAATGGCTCTTGATGCCATGGCCCTCAAATTCGATCTGGCCAGAGCAAGAGAATTCCTATACTGCTCATCAGAACGCCTTGTCCTTAAGTTCCTCGTGAACTCCTCTCTCTGCAATCGCAATGCTAATGCAGCATCCTGATATTGGCTTGGTGGTAACTCTCTCCTTGCCCTTAGGCTAATCTCTCCACCTCCGTTTGATGTCCCAGATGTCCTGACACTATGTCTTCTCATAATGTGAGAATTCCTTCTTTGTGGATCTCGAGAGCCAGATTCTGGACTATGTAATGCTAGGACCCTATCTATTCTACTTCTTGAAATATTAGAATGATTAGCAATTCTTGCTGGACTTTGATGCTGAGCTTCTCTACTATTTAAAGCTCCAGCTGTTTTTCTTGCTTCTACTTCTTTAGGAAATAGTAGTTAAATCGTATTCCAAAGGACTGTGTTTACAGTGCAATACCTCCCATTGCTGCAAAATCAAGTCAGGGTGATCATATCAATTCTGGAAGTCTTGAAATTACGCAAACCTAAGATAAAAAAATTAGAGTGCCATCTCTCTAAAAACACGTAATCTTTTAGATGTGGCAATTCACAAAAATCGACAGGAAGTCTAATCATTCTTTTCTTCCTCAATAAGATCTCCCCTCCAGCGTAGTAGAAGTGTTTCGCGAATACTAATAAATAGTAGTAGTACCTGATAAGCTGTCTGCACTTGGGGCATTTCTTCCCGCATTTGTCAGTAGCAGATCGCAAACACTTCCTACAGAAACTGTAGACATAATTGGACCAAATAAGTTAGAACCTATTACTGAAAATTTCTACTAAGTATTGTTGTATGAATCTTAGTTAATGTGGATGTCAATTAGATTGTACGTACCTGTGTCCACAAGGAGTGGTACTAGGTTCATAACAAATCTCCAAACAAATCTGCAAATACAAATAAAATAACTCAAACTTGAAATTTTATAAAAGGCAATAAGCATTCCTGTGGATTTTGGACTAAAGAAAATGCACATCAACATTCAAGAATGGACTCCTTGACACTTACAGCGCAAGAAAGCTCTGCACGAAGTTGATCCATGCAGAGATTGGCTGAAGCAGAAGAGCTTTGTTCTTTTGATGCTTCAGCCTCTTTCTTATCTCCTTCTCCTGTGGATTTTGGTTCTGTCTTCTTCTTCTCAGTTTCTACTCAACATTGAAATGAAAACTATTTTACTACTTGTAACATGTTGAAATTAAGGTTTACTCAGAGGATTTGGCTCTGGCTTCCTTTACTCAGTTTCGGCTAAATATTGAAATGATTTTTTTTTCTAGTTGTAACATGTTGAGATTAAAGTTGCTCAATCCTTATGTTGGTACACTTACACTAACTATGGTGTTTGGCAGAAGTCTTTTTAATTTGTTATTTTTATGTGTCAGTAGAAAATATAGATGAAACTATAGTATTGAAGAACCCAAATGAAACAGTTCCTAATTGAACAAAGTGAATATTAAGAATTCATACAAATGACTCCAACTAATTCGGAATTGAAGCATAGTAATTAGTATTTACTACTAAACAATTCACATTTGAGAAATGATAAAAAAGAAAAACCTTGTTTTGCAGCGTCGTCATCATCATCATCATCGTCAAGATCAAGAACAACAACACGTACGGAAGCAGGGCTCTTCTTCTGAGCCCTTCGTTTCCTGGAAATGTCAGAAAATATTAAGCATTTCCAATCACCCAAATAAAAATTGCCGAGACAATGTTCAATTTAACAGTGTAATTACCTTCTGGAATTAGAAGGCGGAGTCACAAAACGCTGCAAACCAGGAAGTTTGTTTTGTTTACGTTGGGATTCAGGAGTGTCTTCGACAATAAGAGTAGCCATCAAAAGCGCCTCTTCGTCCCAACCCGCCATTGCAGCCACTGATCTGAATCTTGGGCTGAACAACAACGCCTCACGTTTTTCTCCATCTTCGGCTTTTGCGTTACTGGGGCTTTTCTTCACCTCTTCATTCACCATTCTGTATTGTGATTCCCTGTTTCTTGGATGAAATGAACTGTTGCTTAAGAGAAAATGGATGCAGGTTTTTGGCATTAACGGTCAAGTATCTCGAATGTAACATGGGCTTCTTTCTGGGCCTAACGGCTATTTTTGGGGGATGATGACGATGATGACACTGTTTAGGCTTCTTTCTGGGCCTAACATGAGTTTTTCGGCTACCAACTAAATAGTTTCTGGCGTGGACATAACACCCCTAATTGTTTTTCTCTGGATTCATTTTTTTCTCTCACTTTTTGTCCTTGTGCTTTAGGTTAACTCTAGTTTTAGTCCATCTATTACAGTATTTAATACATTTGCCCTTAGATTCTATGAAGTTAATGAGTTTAGTCCTCCAATTCCAATACATGCAAATCACAACCTTGCCGGCTAAACTAAGTCCTCCAAGGCTTGAGTAATTATGTCTAGCAACGAACTCCGTTTTTATGTTCAATTTTGGAAATGCAAGACTTATATAATCACGAACCAACGTTTTATATGACAAAAATGAAATTAATTATCTTGCAAGGTTGTGCACTTTATTTTTGAAAAAAACTTCGTGAACTTTCATCCGTTAAGAGCAAAGAAATGAGGAATTGTCATTGTGAGGGAAAGCCGGCTTAAGGTCTAAGCCAAAAAACCTTTATTTTAGGCCTCCAAAACATTGAGATCTCAGAAATTATTACTTATTTAATGACCCTATCTTTTAAAGAATAACAATTTCGATTATACTGCTGTGAATGAGCTTGAACCGCTTCAATGGAGATTCCATAGAATGTTCTCGAAACTCAGAAGCAAATGATATTGAGAGGAAGAAGAGAAATATTGAAGCAAGAATCTCAAATTTTATTTTGTAAAATGAGGACTTATATACAAGAAGTTTTAACAAGAAAATAACAACCACTAACTAACCTCCAGCTGGTATAACTAACTGTCAGCTGACAACTAACTCACTTAACACACTAACATCTAATAATTAATAATTTTTGCATCTTAACATCCCCCCTCACTCAAGTTGGAAGTGAGTGAAGCACATACAACTTGTGCAATATAGCAGAATGTTTGATGCCTGTTAAGGCCTTGGTTAGTATGTCTGCTAGTTGAGCACTGGTGGTGATATGGTGCAAGGAAATGAGACTTTCCTGAAGTTTATCCCACCCAAAGTGACAATCAACTTCAATGTGTTTAGTTCGTTCATGAAAAACTGAATTCCTGGCTATATGAAATGCAGATTGGCTGTCACAGTAGACGTCAATAGGATGAAGGAATGGAACAGTTAACTCTTCAAATAACCTGCTCAGCCAAACCAGTTCTCCTACAACATTCCTCAATGACATGTACTCTGCCTCTGCAGATGATAGTGAGACAGTTTCTTGCTTTTTGGATTTCCAGCTAACAGGACTGTGACCTAGCAAGACAATATAACCACTGACAGATTTTCTAGAATCTGGACATGATGCCCAATCAGAGTCACAATAGGCTCTTATAGTATAGTCTTCATCTTTGAAAAAGAAAATCCCCAATGTTGGATCAGTTCTCAGATATCTGAGCAAGTGAAAGGGTGCCTTAAGATGAGGTTCTCTGGTGTCTTGTATAAACTGACTCAGGTGTTGAACTCCATAGGCAATGTCTAATCTGGTATTGGTTAAGAAATTGAGTTTTCCCACCAGCTTTCTATAGTAAGTAGGATCTTGTAATGGAATGCCTTCCTTGGCCTTCAACTTGACAGTAGGATCTAAGGGAGAAGAGAAGTCACTCTGAGATAAGCAATCATATTCCTTTAATAAGTCTAATGTAAATTTTCTTTGTGATATTACTACACCATCTGCCTTATACAGTACTTCCATTCCCAGGAAATAATGCAATTTGCCAAGGTCCTTGATTCTGAAACTGTCATGAAGAAAACTCTTCAGTCTTTCTAATTCTACTACATCAGTCCCTGTCACAACTATATCATCTACATAAACTGCATTAGTGCCTTCTTTCTTATGGAATAATAAATAGTCAAGCATAGAATGTGTATAACCTCTGGAGAACAATGCCTCACTCAGCTTGGCATACCACGGCCTGCTTGCCTGTTTGAGGCCATATAAGGACTTGTTTAACTTGCAAACCAGTCCTTCCTTAGTGACCTCTAGTCCTGGTGGGACCTCCATATACACTTCCTCATGAAGATCACCACGGAGAAACCATCCCTTCTTTACTGCAGTTGCAATCAAAGCTCTCACTGTGGTCATTTTTACCACATGGAGAATGTCTATGTGTAATCAATTCCAGTTTCTTGTGTGTATCCCTTCACAACTAGCCTTGCTTTAAACCTTTCAACACTTCCATTTGCCTTGTGCTTAATCTTATATACCCACTTACATCCTATAGCTTTCTTTCCAGGAGGCAAAGATACTAGATCCCATGTGTGATTGTTGTGCAAAGCATCAAATTCTTGAGTCATTGCTTCCTGGCAGGCAGGATTGATGACAGCTTCCTTATGTGAAATTGGCTCCCTGTCATGACAAATGTTTCTCACAAGAGCTTGACTGTCATGGGTTAATGCCTCAGTAGATATAGAATTGTGATTTGAGAATAATGCATTGAGTGAGAAAGAGTTAGCATGGCATGTGGGTGCATTGTCTATTGGTTTGAGATTAGGAATAGAATGAATGTAGTCCTTCAAATGTACTGGTGTCTTAGGTTCTCTAAGTGATTTTCTAGGGCCAACATGTGATGTAAGTGGTACAGGACTGTTAGGAACAGAATTATTATGTGTGTGAAAATACTGGTCCATTGGTGGTATAGGTAGTGTAGGACTATTGGGAGTAGAGTTGTTTTGTGTGTGGAAATATGAGTCCGTTGGTGGGGAGCTACTATGTGTAGGGAGCTGGTCATGTGAAGTAGTAGCTGGAGAAGATTCCAAGGGTCCTGTAGGCTGTGTGACACTTGACTTGTGCTGACTAGTGTGTTGTTTTGGCTCAACTTCTAAATGGTCAATAAAGGGAATGGAATTGAGGACTGATGGGAAGGAAGTGGTGCTATCATGCATAGCAAAAGGAAAAATATATTCATTGAAAGTGACATCTCTGGAGATATGTATCTTTTTGGTGGCTAAATTCAAGACCTTGTATCTTTTTGTGTTAAAGGGGTAACCAACAAAAATATGAGGGGTAGTTCTTGGCTCAAACTTGTCTCTGTGAGGTTTAGGAACTGTAGGATAGCACAAACATCCAAAACTTCTCATCTATGAGTACTTAGGCTTCCTTTTGTATAGAAGTTCATAAGTGCATCTGTTGTTTAGGCTGCTAGAAGGTAGTCTGTTTATAATGTAAGTTGCACAAAGAATACACTCACCCCGGTATCTGGTTGGTAATTTTGACTCGAACAAAAGAGCTCTAGCAGTTTCTAGTAGGTATTTGTGCTTTCTTTCTACTATACCATTTTGCTGGGGTGTGTAGGGACAAGTCCTTTGGTGTACTATGCCCTTGGATTAGAAAAAGAGATTGGTTTATGTATTGGTGAACTCCAGCCCATTGTCTGATCTAATGGTTTTGATTCTAATGTTGAATTGTTTTTCTATTAAGATTACAAAAGCCTTAATAGTTTGAAGGGCATTACTCTTGCATGACAGAAGTTGAGTCCAGGTTAATCTACTGTAGTCATCTACTATAGTAATGAAGTACCTATGGTTATCATGTATGGTAATATGGTAAGATCCCCACAAGTCAATATGTAACAATTCAAACACTTTGGTGGTAATACTGGTCTTTTGAGGAAAGGGAAGTCTTTCTTGTCTGGCCATGGGACAAATGGAGCAAAGGAAGGGTTGTTTGGATGAGAAGCTTGCAGGTATTGAGACAATATTTTTCATCTTAACAAAAGGCACATGCCCAAGTCTATTATGCCACAGGACATTCACATCATTTTTAACAAGTCCAAGAGAGTTCAGAGAAAAAGACTGTCCTTTATTGCTTGCAGATGAGTTATTTACAAATGAAAGAGGAACACACTTATTTTTGAGTGATGGCTTATTTACATTGCTGTGAAGATGACACTGTGTGTTGCAAGCACAACAACAATCTGACAAAAAAGGAACTTTGACTGTAGGACCTTATTGTTTGTTCTGCAGATATCTTTGACATAGGAAGTATAAGCCATCCATGGCTTTACCAATCACAAGAGGCCTTTTCATTGAAGGAGCCTGCAGCATACATGAATTATTAGAGAAGGCAACTAGACGTTCAGGTTTTGTTAGAGAATGAACAGAGAATAAATTGTACTTGAAAGAGGGTATAAACAACACTTTTTCTAAGATGATATCAGGTATGAGTGTCACACTGCCAATTTATGTTACCCTTACTTTATATACATTTGGAAGAATGACAAGGATAGGATATGACAAGGTTATAATTTTGGTCAATAAGGATTTGTTTAAGGTCATGTGATTTGAGGCTTCAGAATCCAATATCCATGAGTCAGCTCTATTTTTGAAACAATTACATGACAGTTTACTAAAATCAATTGAGGATGTACATGCAACAATACCTGCAAAGTTGGCAGTTGCACAGCCTGAATTCACATTGCTGGTACTTTCTCCTCCATTTCCTATCTGAAAATGATGTAGTAGGCTCATGATCTGCCCATACTGTTCTTGAGTCAGGTTGACATTTTGATTGTCCTTTTGTGCATCAAACTCATCATGTGATGGCATATCTACTTGAGGTCCATGTACATTAGCAACTGTCCTGTTTGTTCTGTTGAAACCACCACTAGGTCTGAAATTCTGATTTGAAGTGTGCTGACTATAGTTATTGTTACTCTTGAAGTTTTGTCCATAACTCTGAGGGTATCCATGCAGTTTGTAGCACTTATCCTTAGTGTGTCCCGGCCTCTTACAATACTCACACATTGATCTTGACTTGTTTGTACCATTGTAGTTATTGCTAGGAGAGTAATTTGTTCTATAACTGTTCTGCTTGAAAGTGTTCATATTCAGAGAAGTTGATTCTAAGGCAAACTGATTATTAGGTCTAATTTCCCTCTGTTTTTCTTCTTGAACCAACAGTGAAAAAGCTTGTGCCATTGAAGGCAATGGATTCATCATCAAGATGCTGCCTCGCACCACAATGTAGACCTCATTAAGTCCCATGAGAAAGTGTATTAATCGCCTATCTTGTTCTGCCTTGTGCACTCTCTTTTGCTCCACATGTGCAATGACAAATGCATTGATTCTTAGCACTTAGGTTACTCAGTTCTTCCCACAATTTCTTCATCTTAGTATAGTACCCTGTGATGTCAAGAGATCCTTAGGAAAGATCATTAATCTCCTTCTGAATTTGATACAGTTTTGTACTATTGGTCTGATCATATCGATCTTCCAATTCTTTCCACAATTCTGTTGCATCATTCACATATTCCACGCTATCTGCAATTTCCTTAGATAATGAATTCAGAATTCACGATGTTACCATATTATCACATGTCTCCCACAATCGAAGTTTTTGAGAATCTGGATCTGGCTTCTTACATTCTCCATTGATAAAACCTACCTTGTTCTTCACAGAAAGTGGACGCAACCCACTTCTCCTCCATGATCTGTATCCAACACCATTAAAAGGAACTGATACTAACATTGCCCTGGGATTGTCTGAGGAATGCATGTACAAAGGACTACTCAGATCCACACCGGATTGACCATTCCCAATTGGTAAATCAACCTCTAAATCATTAGATCGTTCGTTTTAATCTAAAATCTCCATAACTGACTCGATTGAGCTAAGTATTGAAAAACAAAACTACCAATTCTGCAATTGAGATTTGTAGTCGAAGAAAAATAGTGAATCATTCGAATGAATTCCAAAATGACTCGAATTTAGGTTTGCATGTGACAAAAAAACAAAAAGGATCAGTGAATTGATCGATCAAATACAGAATTACAGTTACCGGAGAAGAGATTCCCACCGGCTTTGATACCATAACAATTTCGAGTGTTCTGCTGTGAATGAGCTTGAACCAAGCTTCAATGGAGATTGTTCTCAAAACTCAGAAGCAATGATATTGAGAGGAAGAAGAGAAATATTGAAGCAAGAATCTCAAATTTCATTCTATAAAATGAGGACTTATATACAAGAAAATAACAACCACTAACTAACCTCCAGCTGGTATAACTAACTGCCAGCTGGCAACTAACTGACTTAACACACTAACATCTAATAATTAATAATTTTTGCATCTTAACAGAAAATATTGAAGTTTGTAGAGAATAAAAAGTACAAAATCTTTATGAGAAAGAAAGAAGCCAATCAACTTTCTACTTGATGATTACCCAAAAGGAAAACTTTTTAAAAAATGGGTTTAAGACACAAATTTTATTGAACCACTGTTTTTTTTCAGATTGAGATAGTGATGGACATGAGAAGTCCTATAGTTGTTGTAGTAGAAACAAAATAATAACTATGTCATCCTACAAGCACCTTGATGTTATGGTGTTTCAGAGTTATCAAGTGTTTTATAATTGTTTCACCAAATATCAAAGTTAAGAAAAGACTAGTGCATTCGATTGGACGAGCAAAGCAAAGGAAGCAGCCGTTTGGGACAAATACGGACATGAGTAAACATTGAGATCCCATTGATTTGCATTTAAACGAAACCTTCTGAAAAAATAACAAGTGGCGTTTGGACTTCTTGCAAGAAGTTTTGCGTTGACTCTGGATGACAGTTTTAGTGTTTTACAGAAGAAAATTTTGACTTCCAATGATTATTTTTTAATATTCAACTGCAACTTATGAGTGAAAATACGACTCCGATAATAGCTTTTCATCTACCTAAACCTTAGACGGTAAAGTTGCCTAATACTTGTACTAGTAGGAGAATTGATGTGCGTACAAGCTGGTCTAAATACTATCGCTAGAAGAAAAAAAAATGAGCCTTACCAAACATTATACTAGCTGGTCGAAATAATCAATTTTTTTTCCCCAACAGCAATTATAAAAGAAATATCCCAACTCCAAGCCACACCCTCCAGAATATATTTCTGACAAACTCAATGGCAAGCAATGGTAAATACAAAAGAATAAGGTCATTCAACATTGCCTTTCCTGTGTTAATTTGGAAAGTTCAGAGGATTATCTACAGAAACATTATGCCAAGCAGCAAATGCCAAACATACATGTGATACTACAGGGATTTATCTGCAGACTAGAACGAAACTAGATGCAAAAATAATCTTAACAGATACCTGAAGAATGATGTTCTTTTAATCTCATCACTTGTAAATTCAACTAAAAAAATACCATATTAACTCCAGCTATGGCTGCACTGCAGAATATAAAACATGGAGGCTCTGCCACGCAATTCCATATGTACAATAGTCGCATCTGAATGCAAATAGAGTCGGTATCCAGTTCTGTTCACTGAGAGACCTGGGAAAGCAAATTTTTGGTAAGTATCACAGTATGAACAGACACGGAGACGTGGCTCATTTTGTTGATTCCACCTCCTTTGGCACAATTCCCATCCTCGATTAGCATACAGGTCAGCTCATCAAGGTTGATGTACGAGTGACAAATATACTAGTCTCTACTAGCCAGTGGATGAATGAGGGGTTGTCCTAAGAGAAACGAGCACTGGCTCATTGCTAGCAGCTTTTGTTGCAGCGATTTCCTCTAACCGTTTCCAAGTCATTTCACGTTTTGTCTTGTTCTCTTCTTCATGAGCCAGATCTTCTTCAAATTTGTGCAAGCATTCCTCAAAAAGTTCAGGATCTATATCAGAGAATATTTTGCGGACATTTAATGTCAAGCTTTGTACTGCCTGATTCCAGTGGCCTCTAGTATTCTTCTCCAAGGCAGGAAAGATTATTGGCAGTATAACTTTACGATTTTGTTTGATTAGGTTCTCAATATGATCATTGTTCCACAGGAACAAAGCCCTCTCAGCCACCTGTCAATGCAAGATTTGAACAGATTGAAAATGAACTAGAATTTTTCACACACAGAGAGGGGGAAAAATGGAAGCTGCAGATAATGGATCTGGTCTATCTCATTCTATCAAACAACCACATTACATTACATGTCCAGTTTCATTGGTTTGATTTCAATCATAGATGTCAGAGAATACACTTGTCCATCATTGGTCATATAAGGGTTTTGAAAAGGGTTTATAATGTCCTGGGCGGCTCCAACTATTGCCTAAAGATTTTGGGTCGGATGCTTATATTAGTTAACATGGTAGCAGTGAGCTCATTTGACAACTGTTTACTCTCTACCTACTGTATTGCTCTGGGATTCTGTCTCTCAACTCAGTCCATCGAGCCGCTCTAGAGCCCGTTTGGATTGGCTGAATTTAAGTAGCTTTTAAGCACTTGGTGCTTAAAAGCACTTTTTAATGCTGGAGCTGATTTTATAAATAAGCAGTTAGTGTTTGGATAGAAGTGTTAGAGCTGAAAAAAAGTTGCTGAGGTGTTTGGTAAAAAAGTAGGTGAAAAGGCAATTTTTTCTATTAAAATGACTAAAATATCCTTTAAAATGTTAGTTACTATAAAGGAACTGATTATTCAAGATTTCTATTTCGAATTTACTCATATACAAATAAATTACTCTATATTCAATTCACATTCAGTTCTACGTTGATTGCAGGAAAACCATTTTACCAATAAATATAGATTATGTATTTGAAGTGGCTATGTTCTAGCTGTTATTTGGTTTTAAAAATTTAACTAATTTATAAACAAAGTTGCTCAAACTATTACGTGCTCTCTGCTATTAGTATGCATATGGATTAATGCTAACCAATATTTCATATACACAACAGTGCACTAACTGGTGGCTTTCCAAAAAGTTTCATTTCCCACCAAGCCAACGTAATGGAAACCTTTTATAAATGAAGAACAAATGAGAGAATCTACATTCACTAGAAATTTTTTACTAAAGGTGGGTCATCTATTTACCTACGGAGCTTAATTATGCATACAAGCTTCTTCAAAATACTCATTTCGATTTCTTGAATTAATCAGCAACTCTGGATACTTCACAGAATCCAAATCATGAGAAGAAAGTAATGCCACAAAAATCTCAAAAAGAAAGACAGAGAAGTGATGTAGAGATTGCGGAAAGGAAGAGGAAAGAAGAAAGGAAACCAAATAGTAGCACAGAGGAAGAAAAGAAGACGGATGAGTCTAGGGATTTTGTTAGTAAGGAGTATTGTTGGAATTAGGAAATATTATAAGGGATAAAAAGGTAAATTATTGGTCAAAGTAAAATGGCTTTTAAGCCAAAAAACAATAAGTTGGAGTAGTCCAACTTATTGCTTTTGGCTTGTTTTGGACCTTTTGGCTTAAAAGCCAAGTGCTTTTAAGCATTTTTTTTTATTTTAACAAACACCCAAATAAGCTAAAAAGAGCTTAAAAGCTGGTTCTAGACTTCTCTCATTTATCTCTCCCAGTTCAACTCACCGAGCCACTAACATTACTCCATACCCACTCCTTAGCCTGTTGAGCCTACTCTCTTTTTCTCTCAGCTCCAGGCCCACTTTAGCCTATTGAGCCTGCTCTCTCATGCTCCAGGCCCACCCTCATCCTATCGAGCCTAATCTCTCCCTGCATTAGGTCCACTGTTAGAAAAAACGCAAAATAGAAGTCTTCAACACATGCAAACCGTAGAACATGGTTACCTGTGTGGGAGGGTCTTAGAACGCACTAGTTTCCATTGGTTGTGAGAGTTTCCAAAGGGATTTAAAACGGCGTGGGGCCCTTCACCAATTGCCTTAAGGTTTTGGATAGGATGCTTAATTTCACAATAGATATAATTAGCCAAAGTGTTGCTTCGCTGGTAGAAGGAGTACATTCTATCAAGTTATCCCAGGAAGTTACAACAGAGAATGTGTAAGTGAGTGTTATGTTATGTGAAGTTGTCGCAGTCACAACAGAAAAGTAGCAAGTTAGAGCATCTCTAGGAGAAAGGAAATCAAATTGGTCAAAAGACATGCACAAATCCTGACTGGTTAATAACGTATAGAAACAAAAGAAAATTGATAAGCACCGCCTTACTCTCTTTGGCAACAGGAGTGGAAAATAAGACGTAAGAGAAGATGCTTATATAGGCAAAAGAATCTCCAATGGATCCTAGGCTGATAATAAGCAACATAAAAGTCTTCTAAGAGATTTCAGGACTAAACTTTGTCTGGTGTTCTCCATTTTTTCCAGTAGATATGCTTTAACTAGGTTACTTCTAAAATGCGCAGACTGTGTCCCCTTCCTGAGGCTACTCAGATAGTATAAATAACAACAAGAACAACTATTCGTTTTGACTCATTTTTATGCTCCATAAGAAATGTGGTGCTTATCATCCTATACATGCATTTACCGCTGCAATTGTTCTTTTGGGAGCCAAAGCTGAAACTTGATCCTTAATAAAAAAAATTGCGGTCTGCACCGACATTAATATTGGGACAGATCATATACAAGTCATGTAGTTCTTACAACTTTATGTTGCCCAGACTCGTATACAGGTACGTAAGTGGCACAGTTGTGTGGAAGTATCCAATAAGTACCTCAAGCTTTTGATAATTTTTAGTGTATTTTGAAGAACCTGCACGAAGTACTCACACCCTTATCACACTCGTGGGAGAAATGAGGATTCACTAGGGATGGCAAGCGGTACGGGTGCGGTGCGGATTCTACATAAAGCCACAAAATTTCAACCCACCCCGCCCCGCATAGCACTTCCACCCGCACCACAATCACACCCGCATCCACCCGCCTCGCCCCGCTTCAGTTTTTATTTTTATTTTTATTATTTTATTATTTTTTATTTTGTTAGTTTTGTTTCTTTTTAAATTTTTTTGGCTAAAATTCTCCATGTCAATTAAGAATTTAAGTTTGGGTGCAACTGCTTTGTTTAGTTTCTCCAATATATTGCATAGGATTAAAAGTAGACAAAGTCTAAAATAATAAGGATATCTAGAAATTAAATTCTTTTTAAAAATATTTTGAAGTAGTAAAATTATATAAAAGTAGTAGGTAAACATGAAACTAATTTGTATGCATAAAGACTTGTGCGGCTTCCGTACTCCATAATAGATTAGTACACCATGTAATAAGACATCNCCCCGCATGTATCTAAACCCGCCTCGCACCCGTCCCGCCCCATTGCCATTCCTAGGATTCACGCAACATAGCTTACAACCATAAGACATTTTCTGGTCTATTTTCCTTTACTGGCTCTCACTGAAAAGTTTACAGACTTGAAATGATAATATGTGCAGTTGGTGCTATATATGTGAGAAAGAGGAAGAACAGTGAACCATCTGTTGCTTCACTGCAATTATGTTTTGATGTTTTTTTAATCTCTTCGGTATCCAATGGGTTATGCCAGCAAATGTGAAGCAGCTTTTGAGCAGCTGGCAGAGGCAAGGAATGGAACATCTGGCTCGAGAGGAATAGAAGGTCCTTTGAGGGAAAGGAAGAGAATGTGTTTATTATGAAGAATAAATGTACTCAAAGTTATAAAGTCCTGGTGTAATGAAAATGTGTCTCCTGATAAATGTGATGCTGGAGTTTTGGAGTCCTTACAACTTTAGAGGACTCATATCCAGTAATGCTTTTGTACTATATCTCAATACTAGCTTGGTGCTGAGCTTTTACAGATTATAATATTACCTTTTTTCATAAAAAATACATTTTCATATTCATAGAATCATGTGAGTGGATATATCACAGTTTAATTATCGTACAAAAATCCATGTTTAGAAGCCTGTCCCAGCAGCTTCAGAAGTTTTGAATCTTTCAGTGGTAAGAAAACCAACAGCCTGCTTTGTTATAAGTTCTTTGGCATTTGTGCGGTCTCAATTTTCAAAGTACTGTATCGCGTAATGATTAAATCAATATTTTGTCCCATTCTTCTCCAAGTTTATACAGTTATGTCCAAATGCTATTTAGTCAAGTAATTAACGCTCATAAAGTTTGGATTTTAAAACTGTATTTCTGATGCTACACAGAGAACTTCCCATCATGCTTTTTAATTTAATCTCTGTCAGTTCCTACACATAGATTCTTACTAACATGTTCTCAGCGCTCTTTGGTGATTTTAGCAACTTTTAGCTTATTAGGAACCTTATATGAGGTTCTACATTTCCAAGCATATCAAGATTCAGTCTGGTGACCCATGAATTCTTTCAGGAGCGAACAAAGAACAGAAAAAAGAAGAATATGTCAAATCAACCAAAAATACCAACCTGAAAGTGTGAGCTGCTCAAGCAACGACTGATCTGATGAAACAATGGAACCATACAGCGCTGAAACTCTGGGGGCTGAGTTGCTTCTAGGACCTCTTCCAGCTCACCTAAGAACATTACCTCCTTTGAGCTGTTTGTGATAGGCCAATATTTCAACAGACCCCTTATGACAGTATCAGCAAGCTTGCAGTCCTTTTCCACAAATTGTATTATGCAGTAAGATAACTGCTGATGATACATTTGTGCGCACTTTGGTTTATGAAGTGGGATAAGAGCTCGAACGAGGAACAACTTGTGCTCTTCCTTGAGTGGTAGAGCAAATCCATTGATTATACTGCCCAAAATTTCTAAGAGTTCTGCTATTCCATTATGTTTCTCAGTTTCAAAAATAAACCGATAAAATATATTGTTGATTGATTTCCTAATGAATGGACGGTGCACCATGAACTTTCCATATATCCGGTGAAGTACAGTCTTCAAGTACTCTCTTTCCCTAGGATCTTCTGAATCAAAGAGATCTAATATTCTTAGAACAAATGAGTGATCAATGTATCTCTTAGCCAATTTTGCATCTGTCTCTGGTGATGCCACAAACCTGAGAAGGAACTCATACACAATTTGCAAATGTGGCCATGCAGGGTCCATCAATGGTTCATCTTCTTCTACGTCAAAAGCTTCTAAAACTTTGTTTTCGGGAGGCTGGGGAGTAGGAGGCCTGAATAAATTTGAGGATACCATTTTAATTACTTCTTGCATGACAGCTTCTGGAAATTTCCCATTTGCAGAAGTAACGTAATCAACTAGCTCCACCAATGTCTGCCGCTTGATGTCTTTCTCTTTCAAGTTTTTAGTTGGGTCAGAAAAGTCAAACAAGACACAACACAAGTTCAGCTTTTTGATGAACAAGTTTTGCTTCTCGGAAGCTGGTACATCCCTCAAATTAGGCAATGCCTCGTATGAGAAAACTGATGCATTTCCATTCACCTTAGCATTTATAGCCTGTGGAAGCCTATCCCCATGATTCAGTCCTGGAGTTGAAGAACCAGTGACGCCTGAAAGAGACGTAGCACTCAAACTTCCGGATCGGGAACTAGACAAGTCAACGCTTCTTGAACTATTTGAAGCATTTGACTGAAATGTAGAGCTTCCTCCATCACGATTGTCTGCTGACTTGGATGGCTTCCGTGGGAGCCTATTTAGTATCTGCTTGATCATCTCCTTCAAGTAGACCTAAATGCTTTGCTGCTCAAAATACTCAAAACTAAAGACGCATCGTCAAATCAGAAAGGTCTAAGCTGCAGAAATCCAATTACTAAACCAATTATAGTGACCCATGGGGATCATGCACCTCACAAAATTCTTATCTTCACCACCCTAAACCAACATAAAAGCTTTATATGATCCACTGTTGTGCCTGTATAACCAAATAACAAATGAATCTCCTCATCATCTCAAAACAAGATTAACATAAAGGGAAGTAAAATGAAGAAAATCCCAAATATCTACTAACGCAGTTTGACTCTGCACGGAGTTTTAAAAAGGAATGAAGACTTTTGAAACATGTGGTCACAAGCATGCCATGACATTTGTGTGGCGCTAAGACTGTTGAAACTTGTGTCGTCATAACATTTGTAATTTTGTATGGCTATAAAGCTTCACATTAAGGGTAAACTGGAAGTTTAGAGTTAAATTATTACCAAATATAGAAATGTATCATTCTTTTTTGAACGGACTAATAAGAAAATAGTGTCACATATAATTGAGCAGTGTGAATAGTTTCTTTCTTATCCGGTAGGAATAACGCTAAATTATCAACTCTTCCAACCAAATCCATCTTTTTCTTCAGAACTATCAAGGCACTCCCATTAAAAGCATTAAAAAGTAGCACAAAAAACAAAACCCAGATGCAGCAAATGTAATCTAACCCATAAACAGATAAAGAGTATACAAAAACATCAGAATTTAAATATCAAGGATTACAATTCTGACCCATTAATTTTCTTTTGTACCTATAAAAGGTGAGAAATGTGAACCAACCTTGATTTTTTCTTGTATCTGAGGCTCAAACAACTCAAAGGTGATGTATCAAGATAAAAAAAATGTTAAGATCTGGGCATGATTTTTAGAAAAATCCCAGATGAAATTCCACACCAGGAATCACCTGCAAGAGAGCAAGAAAAAAAAGACTTTCAAAGAAAAATAACAAAGCAGCATTAAAGGCAGAGAAATCGTGAGCTTTGAATGCTTACATTAAGTTGATTTGGTGGTGACAAGAAAGAAATAAAGCTGGAGAGTGAAAAAAGAAAAAAGAAAAAAAAGATTGAATTTCTTTTATTAGAGAGAGTTGGATGAGTGATTTCAAATCTGAAAACAAACCCAACTGAGGGGAGGGAAGACAGGAAAAGGGGATGATGGATTTGAGGAAACCAATCTCTGGTTGTTAGTTTCCTGATGAATGATGATGATGATGTGTTTGGTTAGCAAGAATTATTGTTCTTCCCATTTTGTCTCCAACTTTCCTTTTTTTCCTCTCTCTAACTTTCCTTTTTTCTTTTTCTTTTATTTTATTTTCTTTTGGAACATGGGTCAAATTTGCCCATATTATCCAAATTAAATAATTTTATCTTCCGTTATGTTATAAATATATTATATTATGGATGTTTATTTAATACTCCGTTGTAAATAAGCTTCCTGAAGAAGTTTATCCATATGAGACTCCACCGTAAATATGTTTATCTATTTAGTACTCTATTAAAAATAAGCCTCCTGAAAAAGCTTATCCTTTCGTTACTCCGTTATGGATAAATATTACCCATGGTAGAAGATTATCTATATCTGGCACAACAGCTTAGAGTAGCAACTTACACAGTAGTTTTCTTTCTTCTATAAATAGAGGAGGATTCAGTTCATTAAATACATAAGTTTGAATTTGAATAATATATCAGTCTCTTTATACTTGTCTTCGGTTTTTTTTACTTTACAGTCTTTATTTTATAACACGTTATCAGCACGAGACGTAGAAAATACTTTGAAAGTATCAGAGGTACGAACTTTCTTTTTCTAAACAATGTCATATCTTTCTAAACTTGAGTTTGTAACCTTGGATATATCGGGCAAAAGCTACATGTCTTGGGTACTTGATGCCGAAATTCATCTTGATGCGATGGGTCTGGCAGACACCATCAAAGATAAAAATTAGGCATCAAACCAAGATCGTGCCAAAGCAATGATATTCCTACGCCATCACCTTGATGAGGGCCTGAAAATAGAATATCTTACTGTTAAAGATCCAATCATACTGTGGAGTAATTTGAAATATAGATATGACCACCTGAAGATGGTCGTTCTTCCACAGGCACGTTATGATTGGACTCATTTAAGGCTACAAGATTTTAAATCTATCAATGAGTATAATTCTGCTATGTTCAGAATTATTTCCCAATTGAAACTATGTGGTGACAATATTACTGATCATGATATGTTGGAGAAAACTTTCACCATTTTTCATGCCTTGAATATGCTCCTGCAGCAGCAATATCGAGAGATGGGATTCAAAAAGTATTCTGAATTTATCTCACATCTTCTTGTAGCCGAGAAACATAATGGGCTATTAATGAAAAATCATGAAAGCCGACTTACTGGTTCTTGTCAATTCTCTGAAGTGAATGAGACGAACTTCCACCAAGCTAAGTGTGGAAGATGACGTGGCCTCAGTCGTGGTCATGGCTGTGGTCGGGGAGGAAACTCTAAGCGTGGTAATAACAATGCACCAAAGAACCCTCCTCACCACCAGCAGTGGAAAAGGAATGAACAAAAGCATGAAGCGGTGCAAGCAGCAAAGTCAGAAAATGCATGCTATAGATGTGGAGGAAAAGGGGACTGGTCACGTACATGTCGTACGCCAAAGCACCTGGTTGAGCTGTATCAAGCCTCCCTGAAGAAGACAGAGAAAAATGTTGAAGCAATTTTTATTTATGAAGATAATTTAGACTTCATGCATTTGGATGTAGCTGATTATTTTGCACTCCCAGAAGGAGAAACAAGTCATGTGATCGGTAGTGAATCTGTAAAAATATAAATATTTTAATTTTTGTTATTTGTAGTAGATAGTATGGTTATGTAATTGTTATACATAAATAAAAGTTATGTTTTGAAAATGATATTTACTATCATATTTATTTTGTTTATGTCATTTTGAAGAATATGGATAATCCTCAAATTATGTTTGGATCAAAGACCAATCACGAAGATATTTGTGTAATTGATAGTAGAACAACGCATGCCATATTCAAAGATCAGAAATACTTTTCTTATTTGCATAAGGAAAAAGCAAATGTTTCTACAATTTCTGGTAATATAAGTTTGATTGAAGGCTCCGGAAGAGCTATTGTATTTCTGTCTAAGGGAACAAAACTTATTATCGACAATGCATTGTTCTCCTCCAAGTCCCGAAGAAACTTGTTGAGTTTTATAGATATCCGCCGAAATGGGTATCATGTTGAGACAATAGATGAAATGAACGTGGAATATCTTTGTATTACAAAGAATATTTCTGGCGAGAAATGCATTGTAGAAAAGTTACCAACTTTATCTTCTGGCTTATACAATTCAAAGGTTAGTACATTTGAAGCACACTCTATCGTAAACCGGAAGTTTACTAATTCAAATACTTTTGTGCTTTGCCATGGCCGTTTGGGCCATCCTGGATCAATAATGATGAGACGAATTACTGAAAATTCGAGTGGGCATCCATTAAAGAACCTGAAGATTCTCACAAATGATGAATTTTCTTGTGATGCTTGTTATCAAGGTAAAATGATCACTAGACCATCACCAATGAAGGTTGGCATTGAGTCCCCTGCCTTTTTAGAACGTATACATTGGGATATATGTGGACCTATTCACCTAGTAAGTGGGCTGTTTAGATATTTTATGGTCCTAATAGATGCATCTTCAAGATGGTCTCATGTGTGCCTATTATCATCTCGCAACCTGGCGTTTGCAAAGTTATTAGCCCAAATAATTCGATTAAGGGCACAATTCCCAGATTATCCTATAAAGGCTATTCGCCTTGATAATGCTGGAGAATTCTCATCTCAAGCTTTTGATGATTACTGTCTATCAGTTGGGATAAAAGTTGAACATCCTGTAGCTTATGTTCATACTCAAAATGGCCTTGCAGAGTCATTTATTAAACGGCTGTAATTGATAGCAAGACCACTACTTATGAAAACAAAATTGCCCGCTACTGTTTGGGGCCATACTATCTTGCACGCAGCATCACTTATCCGTCTCAGACCAACACATTATAATAAATATTCTCCGTCACAATTAGTTTTTGGTCATAAACCAAATGTTGTCCATCTACGAATTTTTGGATGTGTTGTATATGTGCCAGTTGCACCACCACAGCGCAGTAAGATGGGCCCCCAAAGAAGGTTAGGAATATATATTGGGTTTGAATCACCCTCTATTATTCGCTATCTTGAACCATTGACGGGAGATTTATTTACTGTTCGATTTGTAGATTGTCGATTTGATGAAATAAATTTTTCACAATTAGGGGGAGAGAAAAAGGAAATCAAAAGAGAAAATTTGTGAAAAGTTTCATCATTATCTCACTTTGATCCACATACCCCTATATGTAATCAGGAGGTCCAGAAGATTATCCATTTACAGAATATAGCAAATCAAATGCCCGACGCATTTACTGATTTGCTATATTTCTGTAAATGGATGATCTTCTAGACCTCCTGATTACATATAGGGGTACGTGGATCAAAGTGAGATAATGAAGAAACTTTCCACACAATTTCTCTTTTGTGATTTGAAAAGGATAACTAAGTCGCATATCCCTACAGAGAATGTGCCTATCTGAATTGATATCCTAGCAGGACCATCTACTAACATGAGAGCTAGTGAACCTAAAGCACGCCTGAAGCGTGGTAGACCTTTGGGTTTTAAGGATCGAAATCCTAGAAAAAGAAAATCGACAAATGATCAAAATGATATTATGAAGGGATCTCCTGAAGAGACCCAAGATCTGATTAGTTCTGAGATTCCTGAAGAAGTCAATGAACCCGAGACTCAAGTGAGTGAGGAACTTTTAATAAGTTCTACTGGTGATGGGATTAATTTAAATTGATCTGAAATAGTGGTGGATAATATTTTTGCATATAATGTTGCACTTAACATTATGTAAGATAGTGAGAATCTTGAACCCCGATCTGTCGAAGAATGTCGACAAAGATCTGATTGGACAAAATGGCAAGAGTCAATTCAATCGGAATTGAAGTCACTTGCTAAAAGAGAGGTCTTTGGACCAGTAGTCCAAACACATGCTGGTATAAAGTCAGTTGGTCATAAATGGATTTTTGTGCGAAAAAAGAAATGATAAAAATGAAGTTGAAAGATACAAGGCTCGCCTTGTTGCACAAGGATTCCCACAACGACCTGGAGTCGATTATGAAGAAACATATTCACCAGTTATGGATGCCGTAACATTTCGATATATCATCAGTTTAGCCTTACGTGAAAGGCTTGAAATACATCTAATGGATGTGGTTACAGCTTATCTGTACGAGTCACTTGATAATGAAATTTACATGAAAATCCCTAAAGGATTTAAAATGTGTGAAGCATATTCAAAATCTCGGGAAATGTACTCAATCAGATTATAAAGATCTTTGTATAGTTTAAAGCAATCTGGGCGCATGTGGTATAATCGCCTCAGCGAATATTTGCTGAAAGAGGGTTACATAAATGATGTTATTTGTCCATGTATTTTTATAAAGAAAATGGCTTCAGAACTTGTTATACCTGTTGTTTATGTTGACGACATAAATCTTGTTGGAACTTCAGAAGAGCTCCAAAAGGCAATTGAATATCTTAAGAAAGAATTTGAGATGAAATATCTTGGAAAGACAAAACTTTGTCTTGGTCTGCAAATTGAACATTTAGCAGACG